ACCCACCGGAAGCATAAATCGGGAGATTGAGGTCTCTGGATTATATCGCCGCCCCGGCGATTCAGATGCATGGATTAAGCAGCAACCAGTTAAAGTTAACTCCGGGAGCTTCGAGCAAGCATGGGACCGACACGTGACTGTGACATCACGGGGCGGTCAACATTCGAGGTGGAAATCGTGCTGACATAATGGCGCACTGCCTGTGGCCGGAAACCAACGAATCACGGGGACGCTAAGCGGCTTTTGGTTCGTTAAGCCGGCAGGGCCGACATCCGCTGATATTCCCACCGTCAAAGACGTCGTACGTTGTTCCACACCAACAACTAGCAGACACACTCCGATTGTCTCGTCCACAACCACCACCAAGCCCCCAACCATGTACGCTCAGCGCAGTCTTCTTCGCCTGCCCCAGCAGCTGCGTGCTGCTCCGGTCCGCGCCGCCGTCCAGCGCCGCCTCAACCACACCGAGTCCAAGCTCCCCTCCTGGGCTGTCGACAACGAGTTCAACCGCGAGAGAGAGGCCGTCAAGCACCACGCTGCTGCTACCAGTGGTGCGTAACCCTTCTCGGGGAAGAGCGGACCTCAATTGGGGTCCAATTGACTTTCAACTTCACCGAGTCACCCTTTCGCAATGGATCTACACATCATGCTAACTCCACGGGGTTGTTACCAATGTTCCAACAGACCTCTGGCGCAAGCTCTCCATCTAGTACGTTTGCGTTATTCCTCACTGCTTGTCATCCCCTGTGGCGGCAGCAATCGATCCCATCCCCGGATTACCCCGTTTCAAGCCGATCTAAGTCTTTTTACTTACACAAAACTCCAGCGCTGTCGTCCCTGTCGTGATCCTCGGCGGGCTCAACGCCTACAACCTCTGGGAGGAGCACTGGGAGCACTGGGACCACATGCCTCCTCTTGAGGAGCGCACCGAGTACCCCTACCAGAACATCCGTGTCAAGAACTTCCCCTGGGGTGACGGTGACAAGGTGAGTTATCCAATCGATGCAAAGCTTAGGGAGAAGTTTTGACTAATTGATTTTCAATTCATATTATAGACCATCTTGTAAGTTTCCCGACTTTTCTGGCTTCAAGTCCACCAAAATCCTCGCGACTACCTACTACGCCGCAAGCTGGGAACGACGGATTTGCCGTCCAAATCACAGTTCGGATTTGCTAACTTTGATGAACTACAGCTGGAACTCCAGCGTCAACTACCACAACAAGGACAAGGCCACCTAAATGGTCCCGTGGTCAAATGACGGACTAATCAGTTTCCTTGTTGGGACTCATTTCCAAGGCGGATACCGAAGGAACAAATGTACATTGATTGCGGAACATGCAAGATGTAAAGGAACCCTGGGGAGGGGAGAAATGAAGGAGGAAGAGAGAGAGAGAGAGAGACAGAGAGACAGAGAGCGAGTCACACGCACAACACAATGCTGCTTCAATTTTTATATTTTTTTCCTTTGTATAATGCGCTTTTGTCAATTCGGGGGGGAAATCAAGTCCCCATCGCGCGCGATTTGATTCCGCCTGGCATAAGTGCTTCTTCGGGTTTCGTATGGTTCTATTGTAAGATCTACCGTCTGAAATATAGTGGAGTCTCGTTTCTAAGTAGACATTGGGGAGAGCAACATCAGTCCCACTGGAGACTCTGGTCTGATAAACTCGAGAGACATGCAAAACAGAGCGACAACATCACGGGCTACACATCCGCCGACTCGAGGCGCCGCTGCTTCTTGAGGTCGAGGTACTTGGCCGCATAGTCGTTGGCCAGCACCGGATCGCCCGTCAGATGCATGACGGTCGCCTTCTTCGCCATCATCTCACATTGGCCCCTGATGTCCTCGAGCTCCTCGTACTGCTCATAGGCACAATCCAGGTACCCGAGCGCGCGGTTCAAGTATTCTTTCTTGAGGGGCGACGGGGCCTGCCCCTGCCCATGGCTCTGACTCTGACTCTGACTCCAAAGGGAACCCGCGACACCCATGTTAGCGTCCACGAGCAGCGAATACGCCTGGGCGGCGAGGTCGCGGTCGTCTGCCTCCAGGACCTGCGGCATGATGCTCTCCAGCATGGCGGCGACGGCGGCGAACTCGCGCAGGCTGAGGAGCACCCCGCCCAACACGCAGATGGCCTCCCACAGACTGGGCAGGAGGCGCGACCGGTGGGCGATGCTGGCGGCGCGCATGGCGAGGGAGAAGCCGCGCTGCGGGTGGCCCGACTTCTCGAGGATCCGCGCCTTGAGGCAGAGCAGCTTGACCTGGCTGAAGATGTCGAAATTGTCCTGGTGGATCGATCGGGCGGTCGACTCGATGAGCTCCAGCGCGCGCGCGTAGTGGCCCTGGCGGATGCGGAAGTCAATCGTCAGGAAGGACAGGAGGAGGGAGATGTCGGTGTCTGGGAGTTCGATCGCTTGCAGTTGGGAGAGGAGATGCTCGGCGGCTACTTTGTTGTCACTAGGAGGTTGTTAGGGGGCTGTCTAGTTTCTTTCCACAAGAATGATTTGTCGGGAGCAGAGATACCGGTAGATATGTCGCTTGAGTTGCAGCACACCGGTGAAGAATGTCCAGTATTGGTTCGCTTTTAGGGATCGAAGCTTTTCGGGCGTGACCTGATCCATGCGGCTGGATATGTCCTTGTAGCGACCTTGTTGTGCGAGCTTTGGGGCATTAGCGAAGATGTCGTGATGATGAGTGGAGGAGGGGGTGGGAGTTGACATACAAGCTGGCAGCTGCGGAATGTACTCTTGAGATAATCTTCAAATGGTGCTCTACTCGCATAGCATTCACGGAAGACTTCGCTACTCAGCCAAGATAGATGGGTGATTCCTGCTGGATTGTCAGTAAGGCTCAGATGTTTATCGTCGGGGAACAGAACCTATTCTCCCAAAGAGCGATGCTTGAAGTAGAAGCTGCGGGCCCACTGAGTTCATCAGATTCTTCGTGACATTCAAGTGTGAAGCGCGGATTATGTTCTCCATGGACGCGGCAAGGCTCTCCCCCTAGGCATTGTCAGTAAGCCACCTGGGCGGTCGAGAAAGATAGCATACATGTTGCAGCTCGAGCTTCGCTTCACTCAATAGTGTGGTGCTCAGCAGACTCCACATCTCCGTTTCCTTGGCCTTCGCCTTCAGGAACGCAAGGCCCTCTTTCTCATTGCCTAGCATGCCGGTGTTCTGTATATCCTTCATCTGCTCGGGGAAAGCTTTGCCGAAATGATACAGCCAGCTCATACAGAAGTTGAGGCAATTCATGTCATGCGATTCACGCGCAATCGAGACGGCTTCCTGCATTGCTGACACAGCCTCTCCATGGCACCCATAGTCAGCCTGCAGGATGGCAAGATTCAACAACGCGTACTGATAGGAGCTTCTGTCACGACTGTGCATGGTGTAGTCGAAGTAGCGATGGAGATTGTCAAAGGACGAGGGATAGTCGCCCGCCCTCCAGGCATCGAGAAATCTACGAACCAGTCAATCACCGGCGTCAAGGGCACCGGGGGCACAACAGACACACCTTAGATAGTGTATCAAGTTGGGCACCGTCACGCCCGATGCTATGATGCGCTCTAGCTGTGCTTTCATCTCATCCGGAACTCTCCCGCCCAAGCCTGAGGCGCATTAGCAGCGAGAATAGATCGAGGAGAGAGATGGCAATAGTACTTTGTAACTCGTTTATCTGAAATTCCAGGAGCCGCTCCACATCTTTCGTGCTGACGTACTTGTCGTCTTCCGAATCGTCATCGATTTGGCCGTAGGCCACTTGAGAAAGATGGCTTGTCGTATCTAAGCCAAGCTCTAGCAGATTAATGTCGACCGGAGCCTGCGATCCAGCTGGGTTTTTCCGCGCCCATGCGCGGTAAGTTGGCAACCTGTATCTCACAAACCCCTTCCAGAGCTTGACCGAGTCGTGGAATTGTAGTCGGGTGAACTCCAACTGGGATCGCCGGACGAATGCCCCCAGGGGCGAGCACCGAGAGAGTTTGGTAGAGCTCGTATCGGGAGCCAGACCGGCGTCTCGATCCCGAATCTGCTCGTCTCTGGTTTTGGCTAAAAGGTCGGAGATTTCACCAAAGAATACCTCCAGCGCATCGCAGGAGTCGATAGACCAGATCTTCTTCAAGAACAGATCCCATATCGAGCGACCGGGCACGGAAGACGCGTGACCGAGAAGGGATTCTTCAAGGTCTGTGATTGACGCGGAGCTTCGTGTTTCTTTCTTCACTGTAGAGGGAGGCGCCTCCCGGTCCAGGGGACTCAGGCATGAGACCAGGAATGATAGCACATGAATTGCTGAAGAGTTGGGGACGACGCCATCTACGTAGATGGAGATCAAGCACAGGAGTGCAACTTTGGAAGGGGTGAGATAACGACTCATTGTGATTCTTATCTGCACATTGTAATGAGAGGACCTGATGATTTTCGCAGGCACAGGCCCGGCTCAACTGAACAGAACTCTCGGGTCTTTTGCGGCTTGCAGCCAGCGCGAAGGAGATCGGGTCGTCCGACGCGAGACAAATGAATCGGCAGGCAGATTGGAGGTGGCAAGCCCACTTTCCTGTTTGTTCAGTGGTCCGATTGTCTACTGTAGGGTTTCAAGATGACGATGCGGGAATGTTGCAGCGCGGTAAACAATAGAGGGAAGAGAGGGGGGTGTAGAAGAGGCGAAGTGGATATGTTTGGCTGTAGAGGAAGGCCTAGTACATACGACCATCTGAAATGCCAGCTAGGTTGGGTGCGTCCGCTTTATATCGTTGCCAGGATTTTTGTTCGTTCTCAGAGGTCAATGAATCGGCCGGAAGCCCTTTCTCTCAGCCGGTACCTTGAGCCCTTCCTATCTTCAACTGGTTGTAAACTTGCTGTCAACTTGTTGTAAACATGTTTGTTGTACCAACCATTTGTTTTTCCCATGATCCACATCACGTGATGTCACATGACCATCGACTCAGGAACCTGCTCATGTATTCTCAGGTAACCATCTACTAAGGTACCCATTGGTGTCTGCCGTCATGGGCTAGAAGGAATAGTGATTACATGCTCCAAAGTAGCGTTTCTTTTTGTTTGATTTGGTTTGCCGAAACTGCAACTTGTCAAGCCGAGCCGGATATATGCGGCTCTACTCTGCGTCTTCTCTCGCTAGCCAGAGATCTCTGGGCTGTGAGGTACGGACGGGCAATAATCGGATATGAAGACATCAAAGCTCGGGTACTCAGTGTCATGAACAATGGATTATCGTGGACCAAAATGGCCTCGGGTCTTTCGATCTGAGCGCCGGTCAACATTTACACAGAAGATCGCCCATAAAAGAATAACCAGCGCAGATTCG